ATTCAAAGGCAAAGTGTTTTGGGTTTTTTTGCTTTGCTTTAAAAAAATTCTTCCCATATCTTTTTCAGAGCTTCCTCAATTGTTAGTGTGATTAGAGATGGAAAAGATCTATTAGAATACAAAATGCCTCTAGGATAGGACAAATCCTTTTGGCCTTTAGAGAACCACTCTAGCTCCATTTCCTGCAGGAAGGTGTGTCTTCACCTGCACAGGAGTTCAAGATCGGCTGCAGAGAGAACTCAGTAGAGAAATGAATCCAGAAAGTCCTCTGGAAGGCTGCCAGAGTGAGCCAGCACACTGGGAAAGTCCTGGAAATGTGAAAGTTCTGCTTAGCAGAAATTCTTTATTTCACATCCAGACATACTACAGACTTCAGCACACCCACTTCATAAGCATTTCATCGACCCCAGCACTTGCCGTGTGGCCCTCTAGCCATTCAAGAGTTGGACAAGTCCACCCCCAGAGAAGTCGAAATCAAGCCACCACACATAGAGAGCGCTCACCCAAGACGAACCTCCACCAGGACTTTGGCCAAGGTTGGATACCAGCAGCTGCCAGGGCCACCTGTAGTAACAAACACCCTCAGCTCAAGTTAGGAGGAAGCTGAGCCACTTGCAGCCTTCACCAAGCCAAAGCATCGTGTGATGAGACCTCTGTGTGTCTGGGAAAGCAGAGCCGTTGGCCTGTTGCTGGAAGGACTGTGGTCATGTTTTTGAATGAGCAAAGATTTCAGATGGAGGGACAGCCAGGACCAGAGCCTCAAATGGTGGCAGAGTGACATAGGGAAGGACCATCAGTCTTGCTGGCTATAGCCCCCGCTTACACTGTAACTGCTTTTTTTTTTTTTTTTTTGAATCTTTGGAGAGAAAAGGCAATGATATATAATATAATCTGTTGTACCTAAAAAAATTTTGTCCTTCAAGTGCCAGTAACCTTATTAAAAGATAGTGCGAGTAGGACTTGTGTAACACACACGTAACTAAAGTGTTTACTCCCCAGAAGCATAGCTGTGGAACTAAGAACGTCTGTTGTTAGGAACAGCCATAAAACTCTGCCCAGAGGGAACTGGAGCGTGGAATTAGGCTTGAGGTACACTAGGAGAGAGCAGCAAACTTCCTTTTCTACGTCTGCTTTCCCTTTCTGTGTAAGACTGATGAGAGATACTCCCCAGAGCAACTGCACTTGAAAAGGACATAGATGAAGACATGTACCCCGAAAAATGGAATTTGCTGTGTCAGAGAGCACACACAGAGGAGGGCCAAGTATTAGTTCACTTTTGTTCCTAAATACCAGTGTCTGAACAGGAGTCAGGCTAGGTGTAGCAACATCAGTTGGGGAACCCATTACTTAATATAGATTTCCAGGTACCACCCCTGGAGTTTCTAACCCAGCAGGTTTGGGACCAGGCCTGGGAATGTATATTTTTAACAAACTCACCAAGTGATTCTGACATGCAGCCAGGTTTGGGAACCTTAAACGGCTTGCCTTGGTGGGTTCTTCCTTGAAGCGACATTTCAATGATGGGAAGCTGAGACGTGTTAAAAGATAAACTGAGGCATATTAAAAATTTTAAGAGTTTATTTGAGCAGAAATTGACTTAAATTCAGCAGCACCAAAACAGAAATGGTTAGGAGCGCTCCACTGACAGGTGCTGGGGGCGGGTGTTGGTGGTGATGGGGATTTTATTGAGAAGAGGCAGAAGCAAACCAAGGATATTATTAGATTAGCTCTATAGCTATGGCCAATAGCTATATAGCTATAGTGGTTGCTTTATTTGGGAAATCCTAGTTGGCTATTTGTGATTGGTTGTCCTTAGATTTTGATTTTTTAACCTTGAGACCCTTACAGACTTAGGTTTTTGTTTGCTTAGGAAGGCGGCTAAGGTATGAGAACGACCTCAGTCTAATGGCCTCCTTGTTTAATTAACTTAACAGAAGATAGAGGGCTGTGGCGTTGAGGAAAGATTGGTGAGAAGATCTGGAGGGTCCAGAGTGGGTCCATGCCCCGTGAGGGCAACCATGAACTGAGGCAGCGTTCTGGGCTGTGGTTCAGAGCTCATGTGAGACTGCGTGCTGAGCCCGGTTGCTGGCAGGGTGTGCCCTCTGAAAAGAGTTGTGTCCATGGCTGACTGGAACAGCCAAAGAGCCGAGGGCAAAGGCCAAATGGAAGGCCAGAATCCCTGGTTCTAGGACACTAGGGGGCTGGGGCCAGTACACTCATACCCTATAAATACCAGAACACAGAAAATGAAATGGCCTGTCTACTTAGCTAGGCATCTAAGTCTGGGCTGCTTTGGTCAGAATTCTGCAGAAGACAATATGGTCCCCACTGGGTGAACATAAAATCAAAACATGGACGTAGCACATACTACATGCTTCTAAGTGCTTTTCACATACTCATTTCGTTCTCATAAAAACCCTGTGAGCTAGATAATAATATTATTCCTTTATACATATAACAAAAATGAGACCCAGAAAGGTCAAGGAATTCATCCATGTTCTCACAGCTAACCAGTTGAAACACAAATTATCGGGGGGCCGTTGATCAGACCTGCTAATCCATGATATTTTTATGGAAAACATTTCTCTGGGTTATCATGATTAAGTGATAAATTATATTTGAGAAGAAGACCTGGGAACAGGATGGTGAGAGAGGAATCTGCACTAACTCAAGAGCTTTTACATTCAGCCCTAGATCATTGTAGCAGTTTATCAGCTCTACAAATTATGCAAAGCAGATTTTTCATCTCTGACAAGCGTTGGTGGATTTTACCTTCCATTCTGCTGTGTCGTGTTCAGGGAATTCAAATTCCTGTTCAATCTGTTTAGGCAAACCAACAAAAGGAGACTAGAGAGACAGCTCAGGGAGGTTATGTGAAACTAGGGGAGCAAGTGAGGTTAGGCAATGTGGTACAATGGAAAGGGCAGTGGTTTTGGAGCCATCTTGAGGTCTTACGTGATTTAACTTCCCTGAATCTGTTTTCACATCTGTAAAATGGCAGTAAAGATTATCATCTTGTTGGGTTGTTGTGAAGTTTGAGATATTATACTCTATTCAACAAATAAATGCAATGACACTGGAGTGTTTCAAGTCACACTACTAATTAAAGGCAAAGCCAGGGTTTGTGGACCCATGTCTATATGCTGCTAACACCCACATTTGCTCCACTATTTCACACTGCCACCTTGGAATCTGGCCTTCAGGGGCATGAGTCACAGCTATACCCCATGTGACTCAAGTCAAACTTCCAACCCAGAAGGGCCTTTCTATGTTATCCCACGGCACCTGGTCATTCTCCTCAAGGGTAGAGGATGGAGGCACTTCCACCCACATCACTCTTCTGTCTTGGTTTGACCCTCTAGGGCAAAGAGCTCCATTTTAGAAGGGTGAGTCTGTACCTTGTCTTTTTCTTATCCCTGGGGCCTCAACCCAGGTATACTAAGTAGAATCTGATTTAAAATTGAAAAGGGAGAGGAATGTAGTATGTGCATTTGTTTAAAATTCTGACCACCTAAGTGCATTCAAAATACGTTTGAAACAGGCCAGAGCTCCAGCTTGGTCCATACAAGACTTGCATGGAAAAACCATTCATGCCATAGGTTTTGCTTGAACCCATTTTATGGGTGTTTTCATTCTTCATTCTCCTTCTCTCTCCTAAAAAGCTAAAAAGCAAAAATTGCCAGTTATCCCACAGACTGCCTTATTGCTTTCTGTGTAGCTCAAGCCTGATTTCTTGTTCCCACTGCACCACTAGCTGTGCATCCTTGGCAAGTTACTTAACTTCACTAAGCCTTAGGTTCCTTGTCTATAAGGGTTGCTTTGAGGATCAATGAGATAATCCACTTAGCGTGGTGCCTGGCATATAGTAAGCCCTCAGTAAATGTTAGCCATTGTTATTACTAGTAGTGACTAACCATTTGCACTTCCCTATGTGACCAACTTGAACCATTGGTTCTTTGCAAATGGGTGTGGGAAAGTCTACTTTCCACCAGTATACGATGGTTATGTTACAGTTGGGGGGGGGGGCGGTTCTCAGCAACTAAACTCTTTTAATTCATGATTGACTACTTGTTTTTGTTTTTATCACGCAGCTTGTGGCATCTTAGTTCCCGGACCAGGGATTGAACCCACCCCCTCAGCAGTGAAAGTGGGGAGTCCGGGAACGCACCGGCCGGGAATTCCCCTATGATTGCTTTGATTTCAAGTCTCCAAAGAACCATCTCAGGAAACAGATCTCTGCCTAAACTTTCTAAGTCTGAGCTCCAATCACCTCCTTTGTGAATCAGCAATAATTCCCTTCTTTTAAATCCTAAAACATTGATAGCCCCTCCCACATGAATTTATGTTTATTGAATAATTATTATTTTATTGGTTCATTTATGTATATTGTCACCATTAAGGCATTCGCTACTTTAACCAGTTTTTGACTACCTTCGGCATGCCAGGAATTGAGCTAATTAGACTTTAAATTCTTCATTAGTGGGTCTCCTTTTTTTGACTTTCCTGAAAGTCCTGCAGAGTTCTGGTCACAGTGGACGGCACCTCATAGTTCTATACAATGATTATGTCCTTGGAAAATGAATAAAATAAACTTTTTGGAGGCTAAATTTTCTATTAGGTAGCTGACTGAGTGAAGAGTCTATTACAAACCGCTTCGCAATGTGAAGAACTCTTTTGTAAAGCGAAGGATCCCTTCCTTTTTCATGAATCGTATGCGTGAATTCGGGATTTCTTAAGATGGTATCAGCTCACAATCCGTCTGTACGCTTTCGCTTTCTGACGTCCCAGGACGTCGAAATTCGGTTGACAGCCTCCCGCTAGAGGGCGCAACTGCCCACGGAGATTCCACCCGCACTGCGCAGCCTCAGTCCAGGGGTGGGCGGAAATCCCCTTACGGACGCCCGTGACGTCACCGGAGGGCGCGGCCCGTGGGTGTGGGCGGGGCCTTCCCCTCAGCGACGGGCGGGGCCAGGCCGAACACCCTCTAACAGCTGAAGGGGGTTGCGAGTGGGAGGCGGCGGCTGGTCCTCAGCGGTGTTTGGGAAGATGGCGCCTCAGGTGACGGACCGGGGGCTGAAGAGCATCGTGTGGCAGAGTGAGTGCGGTGGGACAGGGGCTGAGAGAGGGAAGGCCAGGAGGCCGCGGCGCCGGGCCCTGCTTTCCTGCCCCAGACCAGCAGTCCCTTGGGGAGCCGCCACGGGCACTCGTTGCTTTGGCTCCCACGTCCATGTTAGCACTTCTTCCTTCTTTCCTTCCCAGCCCTCGTTCTGGCAGCACCAACGATGGGCGGGGTGCGGGAGGACGCGGCCTTCTCGCAGGCGTCCGGCACCCTTTGGGCTGGGCTCGGCCGGGCTCTGGCCCCGAAACCCCGCCCTGCGTGAGCGGCCCTGGGCCCGGCTTTTCCGCCCGCGGCCGCTGCGCGGTTCCTCGCTTGCGCTGTCTCCGGGGCCCCACCAGTCGGCGATGTCTCTCCACCCGAGACAGAGCGCTGTGTTTCTCTATCCCGCCCCTCCCCTTCTCCCCACGCTTGAGTTTTCCAAGACTGCTTACTCTGCTTATTCGTCTTAGTATCAGCGAGAGTTTTACTAAGCGTACTTTACAATGCTTGTCCTTTAAAAAAACAAAAAGAAAACCTCACTGTTAAACAAACCCTTCTTCCCTTCTAGAAGAACCCACTTTCTAAAGAGTTCTTGAGAAGGGACCATCGGAATGATTAAATCTCGGGGCAAATCTGCACCTTCACCTCTTCCTTTCCACTCTCGGAGCCACTCCCTTCTGATAGGACTGTATTATAATACTTATTGGTTACTGATATTCTGCCATTGTGCTGTATCATCTACGACTTTCATAAATATCACTCCACACCTAGGTCTGCCAGCTTAGAGAAGGAATGAAACCGCCAAGAACCAAACAGGAAGAACCATCATTGTTTGGCATTGCTGGGCTCAAAGTAATTATGGTCTAGTAGTGAAAAGGGGTAACATCTAATTAGTATTTCTGGCTCCAGCTTGTTGAGCAAGGAACAGAAATAGTGACTGAGTTAACAAAATTATGGGAGTCACAGAGTTCCTGTGTAAAATTAAAACTCCAAATCGGTAACTGGCATACTGCTTAACATACTAAAAGCAAGGGTATAAATAGAAGGGGGAAAAAGTTATGAAAATTTTTTTAATTGGATAGTTATAAGGTTAGCATTTTGTTTTTCAGAATTTACATGGGTCCCTTTTAAGGTTTGGTAATGTTTTAAAATCACAGTGGCATTTAAATACATTTATATGAAAATGGATAATGAATTGTGTTGTATAATTTCCAAGATGGTCCTTAACATCAGCATTTATCAGAAAAAAAAGGTTAATGATAGTAACCTCGGTACTGATAGCATGGAAACTAGGCAAGAGGGAGCGTTTACAGGTAACAAAATTTCCGTCTTGTGCTGTTAACTTGAGGTAGCACCAGGATACCTACATGGAGCGTAAAATAAAGAAGAGGGGACACTGAATGGAAGGAAGTGTTATACAGATTAAAAAAAATAGTTCTTCGAATTTTTGTGGAAATAGGAACATAACTAAAAGATTAGATGATATTCATTCAGCACTTAGTTTAAAGTAGAGAGAGAAAGAGAAGTGGGAGCCTCTGAGTTCTGTTAGCAAAAGGTGAGAAAGTCTGAAAGAAATGATGGAGGAATCTCCTCAGGGAGAATCGTATATTTGGGGAAAGGTTTTGCTAGGTTGAAGGTAGTATAGTTAGGTCAGGTTAGAAAGATAAATAACTTAACCTTCAATTTACCTGTAAAGTAGGGAGAAGGGAATTAATATTTTTTGAACATAACTCTGTGCCAGGCACTATTCTTTACAAATATCAAAACAATGAGAATTATTATCTCTTTAACAGATGTTAAAGCTGATACACCTATTATCATACCTGCATAATTCTTTTTTTTTTTTTTTAATACACTATGTATTTATTTATTTATTTATGGCTGTGTTGGGTCTTCGTTTCTGTGCGAGGGCTTTCTCTAGTCGTGGCAAGTGGGGGTCACTCTTCATCGCGGTGCGCAGGCCTCTCACTATTGCGGCCTCTGTTGTTGCGGAGCACAGGCTCCAGACGCGCAGGCTCAGTAATTGTGGCTCACGGGCCCAGTTGCTCCATGGCATGTGGGATCTTCCCAGACCAGGGCTCGAACCTGTGTCCCCTGCATTGGCAGGCAGACTCTCAACCACTGCGCCACCAGGGAAGCCCCTGCATAATTCTTAATAGACAAAAAGTCAGAAACAACCCAAATGTCCATGGACTGGTGAATGGATAAATAACATGTGGTTATGTCCATACAATGGGATATTATTGGGCAATAAAAAAGAAGGAAGTACTGAAACATGCTACAGTTTTGTTTTTTTTTGTTTTTTTGGTTTTTTTGCGGTACGCGGGCCCCTCACTGTTGTGGCCTCTCCCGTTGCGGAGCACAGGCTCCGGACGCGCAGGCTCAGCGGCCATGGCTCACGGGCCCAGCCGCTCCGCGGCATGTGGGATCTTCCCGGATCGGGGCACGAATCCATGTCCCCTGCATCGGCAGGCGGACTCTCAACCACTGCACCACCAGGGAAGCCCTCTTCTAGAGCTTTAAATTCCAAACAGGCCCTGGCAGAATGCAATGGATAATAATGCTTGTGAAAAGTAAACAGTGGGGAAAAGAAAACACTAGATCAGTTTTGTAATTTTCCCCCATTATTCAATAAATATTATTGAATTCCTATGGGAATACAGCAATAGAAGGCAGACAAGTTCCAGCCTTCTTGAACCTTGCATTCAAGTGTGGAATAATAGAAAATGAGTATATAAACAAAGAATAAACATGATTATTTCAGTCTGTGATATCTATATATAGAAAGGGACTGTTCCAGGTAGGTGGATCAGGAAAAGTTTCTCTGAGTAGGTGACATTTGAGCCGAGGCCTAAAACATGAGAAGAAATCAGCCTTTAGGGACCACATTAAAACCCCTTTTAAAAATTTAATATTTGAATGCAAAGGGCTACATTTATTTACAAAACTAATTCCCATACTTAAAATCAGTGAAAGTTTCTAGTGCTTGGTATTGCTCATTTGCCACTTTTTGCTACGGGGGGCATGGTAATAAAAATATCACTGATAAAAGATTTTAAATAAAAATTTGATGAACTTTATTTGAAAAACGCACAGCAAAACAATAGTAATTAAATCGACCATAAAGCAAGTTGAAGCCACCTATGACATTTTTTTCCTTATTCAGTATAGCCTATTTTCTTTCTTGTCTATAAACAATAGTCTAATGTCTGTAATTCACCTTGTATATTTTAGAGGAAATGTTAGAGAAAATGAACCTAGTAAAATTACAAATAAAAGTAATCAGAATGTATTTATCTGAGCCAATTCTTTGCACATTAAATCATAAGCTTTTTGGGTTTTTTTCACATTTTTCTTCTAGTTCGTATATAGCTTCAGATATATTTTTTATTATTTGTCATTTTGTGACTTCCTTTTTTAAAACAGTTAACAGTACGCGGTCCTCTCACTGTTGTGGCCTCTCCCGTTGCGGAGCACACGCAGGCTCAGCGGCCATGGCTCATGGGCCTAGCCGCTCCGCAGCATGTGGGATCTTCCCGGACCGGGGCACGAACCTGTGGCCCCTGCATCGGCAGGTGGACTCTCAACCACTGCGCCACCAGGGAAGCCCTAATCATTCTTAAATACCTTGATGTGGCAAAAAAGTTTGATAACAGAAAAGATTGTAAAATAAAATTAATCTTCATCCCTACCTAGACCCCAGACTCCTTTGCCAGAGACAGCCACTCAGGTTTCTTATAAATTCCTTGAGAACTTATTTATGCCAATATAGGCGTGTATAAAATATATTTTTTGTTTTTTGTTTTAATTATCTTTGTTTTATGTCTTTTTTCATTCTGGTCACTTCTTTAAGTTTATCTTGTTGAGAAAAATTCTCTTCTTTTTGGATATTTGCAGAGTCATGTATTCTTTTAAATCAATATTTATTGACTACCCTGTGCCGCCCACTATTCTAGGTGCATACCCCTTGACCTCCTGGAGTTTACAGTTCAGTGGGAGGAGACAGGTACATAGGTACTAAGTGCTATATTAGTAGCATGAAGAAGTTTCATGGGAGAAGAGAAGAAAAAGGAATTATTTCCTCTCTGCGAGTGGATCAGGGGAGACTCCAAATAGGAGGTAACAGTGAAAGGTAGTAGGATTTTGCCAGACAGGGAAATCTGAGCCAAGACCCAAAGATGTGAAAGTATGTGATTGTTTATGGAAGAGGGAATAATTCCTTTAGTCCGAGTACAGAGTATTTGTTGCAAGAAATAGGGGGATGAAGACTAAAAGGTAGGTTGGAGCTAAATTGTTCAGACATGCTGTAGCAGTGGTGAGCTACTAAAGCTGAAAGGTTTTCTTTCCTCCTCAAACAGCAGTCATCAGCATTTTGGGGACTTACTAGAACAGTGCTGAAAGGAAGTCATTTTCTTGTTCCTAAAGTTTTCATTAAGTATAATGCTAGTGTAAAGTGCACTAATGCTAAATGTGCAGATGGATACATTAAAAAAAAAATTTTTTTTATTGGGGTATAGTTGATTTACAATACTGTGTTAGTTTCAGGCGTACAGCAAAGTGAATCAGTTGTACATATACGTATATACACTTTTTTTTTTGATTCTTTTCCCATATAGGTCATTACAGAGTATTGAGTAGAGTTCCCTGTGCTATACAGTAGGTCCTTATTAGTTAGTTATTAGTCCTTATTTATTTTTGGCTGCATTGGATCTTCGTTGCTGCGCATGGGGTTTCTCTAGTTGTGGCGAGTAGGGGCTACTCTTTGTTGTGGTGCACGGGCTTCTCATTGTGGTGGCTTCTCTTGTGGAGCACAGGCTCTAGGTGCGCAGGCTTCAGTAGTTGTGGCTCACGGGCTCTAGAGCACAGGCTCAGTAGTTGTGGCTCATGGGCTTAGTTGCTCCACGGCATGTGGGATTTTCCTGGACCAGGGCTCGAACCCATATCCCCTGCATTGGCAGGCAGATTCTTAACCACTGTGCCACCAGGGAAGTCCTAGA